GACGTGACATGTTCGTACGAACCCTTTGTACGAACAAAAGTAAGAGAAATTTAGGATAAGAATACGAACATGTTCTTGCATGAGGCCCAATGATCCGGCAAGTAAGATGTGAACAGAGCTAGGACTGATGAGATATGAACAGCTGAGCTGATTAGAAGTGACAACAGGTGGACAGTGGCTGATACTGAGAAGCTGGCTAATGGTGATATGAAAAAGGACACAGAGAAACTAATAATACTGCATTAGTCTTATAAAGCTCTTTAAGACCCTCAAAGATGCTTTAGAAAATCAAGAAAGTCCTAGAGCAAACAAATTTCACAATACGTCTTACCATGAACGTCAGAAAGACGAGAGATGTTTATGAAGTGTGATCTAAATGTGGGGATTATTACTATTTATCAAGAAAAGGCTTTTGATTGTGTAGATCATAAATTTTTGTTTAAAACTCTTCATATTAAAAGAGTGCAGGTTCTAGACTGACCTGCCTCCAGTCCAGACCTGCCTCGCATTGAAAATCTGTGGAGCATTATGAAGCACAAATACAACCACAGAGATCCCGGACTGTTGAGTAGCTGAAGTTGCAAGTTAAGCAATATGCAAAAGAATTCCACCTACAAAACTTCAACAATTAGTGTCCTCAGGTACGAAACACTTATTGAGTGATAAATTAATAGCAGTCTGTCCCCTGGTGTGGTCCCTGATCATTTTAAACATGCAGTGGTGTAACCTCTTATTAAAAACTTGGACTAAACACCAGTAACTTTGATAATTTTAGGCCAGTTTCCAAATTTTCTTTTATTTCCAAAATCCTTGAGAAAATTGTGAACAATCTATTACTTGGTTGTCTTGAAGAGCGTAGTATTCTCGAGGTTTTCCAGTCTGGTTTTAAAACTCTCCACAGCACTGAATCAGCTCTTTTAAAAGTTTTTAATGATTTTTTTAGCTACTGACTCCGGTGACTGTGTCATCCTTGTGCTTTTAGACCTAACAGCTGCTTTTGACATTGTGGACCATGACATTCTGTTATCTCGTCTGGACTAGTGGGTGGGAATCAGGGGTGTTGCCTTGAATTGGTTAAGGTCCTACCTGTCCAATCGAACCTTCTGTGTTAGTCTTGAGGGGTCAGTGTCCTCCTCTTCTCCTCTTTTATGTGGAGTCCCTCAAGGTTCAATTTTAGGCCCACTTTTGTTTTCTCTGTATCTGCTCCCACTCGGTTCTATTCTCAGAAAGCACGGTATTTTATTTCATTGTTACGCAGATGACAGCCAGATCTATGTCCCTCTCAATAAGTCTAATTCTTATGCAATAGACTCACTTCTTATGTGTCTTGAGGATCTGAAGGCCTGGATGGCACAATTTTTTTTGAGGTTTAATGAAACCAAGACTGAGGTTATGGTTTTTGGAGGTACTGCAGGCCACTCCCCTGTAGATCTAGGTTCCTTGACTCAGTACAACAAATTGTTAGTGAGGAATTTGGGAGTTGAAATACTGTAGATCCCTAACTTAAATTAGACAGCCACATTAGGTCAGTTGTTAGAAGGAGTTTTTATCATTTCAGGCAGCTAGCCAAAATAAAACCCATCATTCCAAGAAGACATTTTGAGACAGTGATTCATGCCTTTGTCACCACCCGGCTGGATTACTGTAATGGACTTTATCTGGGGGTTAGTGGGTCCTCCATTGCTCAACTGCAGAAGGTCCAACATGCTGCAGCGAGGATTTTAACTGGCACACGTATAAATGAGCTCATTTCTCCCATTTTAGCTTCACTCCACTGGCTGCCTGTGCCTTTAGGATCCATTTTAAAATACTTTTATTTGTTTTGAAATCTTTGAATGGCCTTGCCCCTCTATACTTGTCTGATCTGCTGCACCCCTATAATCCCTCCCGCTCCCTCAGATCAGCTGATCAACTGCTCCTGAGGGTCCCTAAAACCAGACTCAAACTCAAGGGGGATCGAGCTTTTGCTGCAGCAGCTCCTAAACTCTGGAACGAGCTACCTCTCCGACTTAGACAGTCCTCCTCACTGGATTGGATTGGATTGGCTTAAAAGGAAAGGTGATGTAACACAGTGTTAAACATGCCCGTCACAGCAAAAATGAAAATGAGTGAATATTTGTAAAAAAAACAATACAGTTAATGTTTTACACAGTGCTCCAACTTGAATGGAACTGGGGTTATACAAGGGTAGGATGAAAGATGCTGTGTCACCTGCTGCAGGTCGAGCTTCCTCTGAATCTCCTGGAAGTCACACGACTCGTAGGCCACAGGTTTGGACAGTTCGGTCTCGATGTGGACAAGCCAAGAGCGCAGGCTGCTCATGTTTTTATCCAGCTGCTGCACGGCTACCAAAGTTTCCCTCAGTTTCTTCACTCTGTTCACAGAATTTAAAATTTTCATTTAAAACCAAGAAAACATGTTTTTGTTATAAAATACACAACTGATGATGAGAACTGGAACACTGACCAAGTTTGTTAAGGTTAAAATAAGTACAGCAGAACTAAATTCAGCTAAATGGTAACAAAAAATTACAAGTAATAAGCAAAAGAAAAAAATAGCATTAATATGAGTAAAAAACGGTAGCTACAAGCTAAAGTAGCCAAAGATAAAAAAAAAATAGATCAAGCAGATTTCACAGAGAATCGAGTTTTTTAAACTGAAGAAAGCTTAATGTATTTATGTGGAGAATTAATTGTAAATAAAGTGAAATATTTGTACAAGTGTAAGAGCCAGAACGCATTTTCAGTCAAGCTGAACATTTTTACATATGAAGTGTTAAAACAGCACACAGACAGGTAGTTGCAAACAAAATACAGAAACAAGTCTAAAATGCTGAGTCAGTTTCAGCAGGAAGAAAAATCATAAACTTTATAGAAGTTTCTCGTCCTTTCACCTGGCTCCGATAAGGTCCAGCAAATGCTGCCAGCGCTCGTTGACTTTAGTGACTTTCTGTTCAATTTCAGTGGCTTTGCTTTGGTGACTGGCCCTGGCTAGGCGCTCTCCAAGATGATGCAAATGCTGCTTGTTCTCCTCTGCCACTGTGATCTCCTCTTGGTAGTCCTGAGAAATCAGTTCCGAACAGTCAGTTTCTACATGCTGCCGCTAAAGCCAACTCTTTCAGCAACTCAGACTGTCTGATCAGATCCACAGATAATGAGACACCCTACAAGATTACAAGGAAAATTAATCTGCTCGTCCCAGACCTTTATAAAAAGCGAAGAAAATAAAGATATAACAGGAAAAGATGCAGCCACAACAGAGACAAGACAATCAATCATCACAGGCACAGCCGGTCCATAAGGGCAGGTAGGGCCACCTAAAACAGAATTCATTCACCCCACAAAGTTCTTGTTGTTTGGTCTATCTGTGATCCACAGTTAGCATTCATTACTTATATTATGATCTGTGCTCTTTAGTTGGCTTAAAACATATTTTAGTAATAAATAAATTAGCTTAACATTGATGTGTGTGTCTGTGAGGATGACTGGGAGATATTTTACCAAGCTGAAATGTCGTCTCTGTACTTGCTCTGGTTCTTCAGGAAACATACTTTCTGGGTCTGACAATAAGGTTCAACTGTATCCAGAGTTGCCATTATCCAAAGCCGTTATGTATAATGTTGCTGCTCTTTTATTCTTATTACCAGTGGTGGGCACCAGTCCGCTAAAGCACAAATCTGCTAATAGCGGACCTAAATATTTCATGTGCGCTTTGGTGGTCTTACTAATTTTTATAATTCATGAGCGGATTTGCACTTTCTAAAATTAAAACACAGTACCACTAATAACTAATTGTCTACCAGTCATCATTATCTTGAACAGCAGAAGGTATGACTGTCAATGAATCACAACATGTGATCTATCCAACAGCACCCCTCCCAGATAAACACATTTATTGAGAAGGTATACATCCTGCTGACTGTTGCTTTGGGTCATGGTTCTTATTTCCCACAATGCTTTGTGTCTGCTTACGTAGCAGGAAGGCAGTGTTTAGTACTCCCTTTCCCAGCAAAAACAGTAAACGTTTGTAATCCATACTAAAATTTTGTATGCATTGTTTTATTTTATCCCGGTCCGGGGGCCTTCCTGGGTAGAGTTTGCATGTTCTCTCCGTGCGTGGGTTCTCTCCGGGTACTCCGGCTTCCTCCCACAGACCAAAAACATGACTGTTAGGTTAAATGATAACTCTAAATTGTCCCTAGGTGTGAGTGAGAGAGTGAGTGGTTGTTTGTCTCGTTTGTCTCTATGTGTGGCCCTGTGATGGACTTGCGACCTGTCCAGGGTGTACCCCGCCCCTCGCACTGTGACTGCTGGATATGGACACCAGTGATCCACGCAACCCTGAAAAGGAAGAAGCGTGTACAGAAAATAGATGGATGGATGATTTATTTTACTTTACAATCAGAGCTCCTTTAAAAAAAAACGTTTAAACGCTGGAGCTCAATACTTGACGCAATTGGTTGAAGCAACGGGGTTAGGGACTCAGAAACAATTTAAAGATATTATGCTGATGAAGACTGACATCTAGTGGTCAACTGGAGCAACTACATGAAAAACTTTCATTTCCCGTCACAAATCAAATCCGTCATGTACCCAGAATGCATTGCTTCAATTTTCCAATAGTTTTAAAATTGCTTTATTGGTGCTTCTTTAATGAAAAATCTACAACAAACAAAAGAAAAAGACAAAGAATCAGCCGAACTAGCAATCCTCAACAACGTTTTAATTTTTACACAAGGAGCTAAAGTTCTGTTTCAGGAAATCCCATCCCCAGCAATCGATGCTTGTAGGATTAAACTGTACAAGGGTTCATACACCGCTAGTTGGCAGTGTTGTACATATATTGTACAGTTGTTGCCAGCAAGTAAGTGTCAAATTGAACTTTTGCTTTAGAATTAGCATCCGCTAATTTTCTATGGCATAAGCGTTTTTGAAGTTGCGGAACTAAATATTTTTATAAGCGCCTTAGAAATTGCGGAGCTTATTTTTAGATTGGTGCTGCCCACCACTGCTTATTACAACAAAACAGGTAACAATGCTACCGGTTGTAAACGGCATGAAGCTGTTGTGATGACGTGAAGAAAGGGGAGTGACAGAAGTGGTAGGAGATTCTTAAAGATGCAGAGGCCAACTTCAAGGTGTTTAGAAACAGTTATGATGCAAAGTCAAATTTATATTTGGTATAGAACTAAACTACATGCCTGAGAAACACATAATATTGTCTCTTTAACAGTCAGATCCTACTGTGTGAAAACAGCAGACTAAACAGTAACCTCTGTGGTCTGATGATGTGAGAAGCAGCTATCTGCTAACAGAACATCTATCTGAGGGCTCAGATCATCTCCACTTACCTTGCGGAGCTTCTCGATCATCTCCTCAATGCTTATGTCGCCATTTTGGGACACCTTGCTCTCCATCCTTGTGAGCCACTCACAGAGCTCCTTGTGCTTCTCGTTGAAGACTGTCCACTCGTTCAGCTTGTCGCTCACCTGCTGCCTGCGCAGAGACAGCTGCAGAAACACAGCAGATCAACCACATCTCTTTGGACCATTAAAAAAATAATAACGAAATTTTTAAAAAATAACTTCAAAAAGTGTAAAACGGAAGCAGAGTTACAGTTTTACCGAAACATGACTGCTTCATTTGCATTACACAACGTGTGTGTTCCTGTTTCCTGTGTTTTGTCTGCTTAACACAGGATGCAACTGTGAAAAAAAACCTCTTGTGGTTTTAGCAACATTCACAGGCTGTGATGAATTAAACCCTGCATGCTAAAATCAGAGAGACAAGCAGTACATCTCTTTAAAAACTACACTGAAAAATAAGAAGTCAAGTAGGTCGGTCTTCTGGAAAGTTTCTTCTTTAATGAAACGTTTCATCTCTCCTCCAAGAGACTTCTTCTGAGGAGCTTCAGGTAAACTCAGCGTTATAAGCACTGCCTCCACATGGTGGACAAACAGGTTAAACAATGACAATATAAACTGTTCACATGCAAAAAATTAAAAAGACCATCAGCCTAACAATAGATTGTCAGTGCCCTGAATATTCCTGTTGTTCACAGACGACCATCAGCACCTTCAGTCTGATGATCTTTAGGGCCTTGATTATCACCGGTTGTTTCCAGAGGGCGGAGATGTGTCAGGACTGAAAAGCTACAACAAATTTACGAGTTTTTATCAGTTCTTATAAATGTGAAAATATCAATCTCGCTATTCAAATTTACTTGATCAAATAAGAAGTCAGCTTTAGTTTATATTATGAGCAGCTCTGTGCTTTAATCTGGACAAACAGCATTAACCTGAAAGCATTCACACAACTAGAGAAACTGCATTTCTGGCAAAAAATGTTGGTGTTAGTCTTATTGCTGAAAACTAAAGCTGAATATTTACACTTTTTTCTGGTTCTTCTTTTTCAAATTTCATTGTGCTAATTTTAGCTTCTTTCTTGCTAATTTTAGCTTCTTTCTAGCTAATTTTAGCTTTTTTCTGCTGTTTCAGATGTACTTCTGCTCCTTTCTGCTATTCTCCTGATAATTTCTACTTTTGTCCTCCTTTCAGCCTCTTTCTGCTAATTTGAGCTTTTTATGTTTCTTTCATGTTTCAAATTGCACTAAAGATTTATAAACATTTTGAAGTGTTTTAAAGATGTTGAAAACAGCTCTACTCATTTTCAATTAATAAAGTAAATGAAATGGTCCTGGCACACATCTTGGACTTTTGTTTCGACTTCAGTGTATGATAGAGCTTGTTCTCAGCTACAATATATACATTTTTAGCTCAATGAATCAATAATAGAATAATTAAAGTGATTTGAGAATTATTCTGGTAGCTGTCTTGAATTTTTGAGTTGCATTTAGAATTTAATAGCTTATTTTTGCTCAACGTGTTACCAAATTTACCATTTGTCTGAAAATGGCTAAATTCTAACCCCTTAATAAACTAGATACAGCATAGCAGTAACATAATGACTCCCGCACGCACCAATGCACCAGAACTCAGATATCCTAATAAATGTCATGATACTTTTTTAAAACTATTTTAACTATTATTACCGTACTATTATATTATTAATACTATGTTAAACTCGGTAAATATAGCGACAAAGTTGTTAAATTGGCACCGCTGTGTTTCGCAGCCCGTCACCTCTCATATCAGCGAGCCGTGTGTCGGATCCATTACATCACGCATTGAAACGGTCAAATTAACACATAATATGGGTTTTTTGGAGTTATTGATCGTACAACAGAGGGCAAAATTATCGTACAAATATGACAATTATCTTACGTCTGGCAACACTGCACTGTTTTTAAAACAACGTAGAATTGTCCCACCTCGTTCAAATCCGCGCGAGGGTGTGTGTGTGTGTGTGTGTGTGTGTGTTTGTGTATATTGGTTTTTCATACAATGTGGGGAAGATTTTCCCAAAAAGCAGCCTCATGGGGACTGAAGTGCATCATGGTTTAGGTTAGTTTTAGGGTCAGGTGAGTTACCTGTGGGGTTAATTTTAGGGTAAATCGTCAGTGTTAGAATTTAAAATCTAAAAAAATGAGTGGAAGTCAACGTAAGGTCCCCACGGGGTTGAAGAACAAACGTGTGTGTGTGTGTGTGTGTGTGTGTGTGTGTTCTCTCCAGCAGCACCCGCGAGTGTAGCGACACTCCAAAAACCTTTGAGTAAAATAGTATTTAATCGAAATATTGGAAAACAATGTATACATTAGAGATGGGATAAATGGCTCTTTGAAGGGACCAGGATCTTGGGGAGCCGTTTGTTTCATGGAGCCGTTCAAAAGAGCTGTTCGAGTTTGAACGTGTTTTGTTATCATGTAGGGAAATACATCATCACGTAGCCGTACGTAATGATGCAATCCCGTCACATGGGTGGAACCATGTGTTTGTCAAGCGGAAAGCCCCCTCCCTCTTTTACCACGAGCTTCTGTTCTCCACAGCTCCACCTGTTTTCCGTGAAAAAGCAAAGTGGGAGCAATTTAAGTATGAAAAAATAAAGATTATATGAGGAATAAAAGAAATACAACTACAACTGGCTCGTTACTGCCCGCGACTCAGCTCCTATCGTTTGTTGTAAAGAGCCGTTCAAAAGATTCGTATCATTCGCGAACGTCACATCTCTAGTATATATTTGAGTTCTACAGGGTTACATTCTCACCTAAAAACTTTCTAAAACTTAATTTTGTGTCAAGGAAAAAGAAAATTTTGAAAATGTTGGCACTGCTTTATTTCCTGCTTTTAATTCAGACAGCTTTTCATCATGGGATTGGTTAGGTGAAGATGGATTTAAACACAGTTTTTGTGTACAGATACTCCTTTTTCAGATAAATTGGGGGTCCGGGAGGTTGGGGGCACTGACTGGTTGGCCCGATGGACAGAGCTTCATCAGAGCTAAACAACAAAAGAAATCTGAAGCTCCTAAGTTGCACAGTTTCTCAGTTATAAGCATTTTCGCATGTCCAGACACCCCCACTTTGAAAGGAGCCCCCTCCTCAAATATGGGGTCTATCGTAAAACCGTTGGCTGGTGCAGTGTAGGTCAGACTCATCTACAGTCCTGCCAAATTTCATGTTGACCGGTGCTGCCGTTTTTGTGCTACGGTTGACCAAAAATCACTGAAAAAATAAATGTATGAAAACAATATGACTGCTGCTTCGCGTGCGGGGGTCATAATTAGCTTTAGCTGTTGAAGTTTGACATTTATATGTTCAGTGGTTATCAAATTAGACTTTCTAATGTAATGTGTGACTGACTTTTCTGATGCTACAATATAACATTATACAACATATCTTCAAGCCTTTATTAGGGCTTGCTGATATGGCAACACTCCCACATTTTGTAAGTCTTCATATTCAAGCTTTAATCCTGTCATTCCACAACACGGCATGATCCAAGAGTGAAACTCGACACATTCATTCCTTCATGAAGTGAAGGCCTTTAGCATAAACTTCTTTTCTTTCTAATAAAATGTGATGCCAGAAACGCTTTCCTCTATGATGAAGTGCTGCAAAGATTATTGTGCTAAAGCAATAAAGTTGTGATAATATGATCTGTAGAAAACAGTGGAAAATTAAATGTACAGTCTTTGTACCTGGTGACAGATTTCATCCCACTGCCGATGCAGAAGTTCAACCCGCTCCTGCAGAGCAGACAGGTCCTCAGAGCTGATGTAGCAGCGCAGAGACTCTCTCAGTAAAGTTAGGTGAGCCAGATCTCCAGTCCAACCATCAAACATGCTCTCTAGATCCTGTCATTAAAAGTAAATTGTTACTAAAAACTTGCTTTGTCTTTATCCACTCAAGTAAATCAGCTGAATACACGAGGAACAATAAAAAACAACTCTACGTAACACTAAAAAAGAAAAAGAAGTAAAAGAAGCTGATGGACCAGGACCAGGACCAGGCTTATACCTTGAGGCGGATCTTCTCAGCTTGCAGGTCTTCATGGTGATCAGGCAGAGGTTGAGAGAGCTGCCGTTTAAAGGCTCGCAGCTTCTCCACTGATTCTCCAATTCCTCTCTCACAGCCCTCCCAGTCCTGCAGATGAAAGGACCCACAGGTGAGACCATACAGGTGAGAGGATGAACAGGTGAGACCACACAGGTGAGAGGATGAACAGTTGAGACCACACAGGTGAGAGGATGAACAGGTGAGACCACACAGGTGAGAGGATGAACAGGTGAAARGACACGGGTAGGAAAAGCAAAAGAAAACCAAACAAGCACTAACGATGCAAAATGTTTCAAATAGCTCCACCCTGAATTTGTTTTGTTTACCTTTAACAAGGTAGTGAGCTGTTTCCTCTGCTGCTCCAGGCCGGTGCTGGCCTGTTTCCAGTGGTCCTGGACGTGGGTCAGCTCTGCCTGCAGACTTGCCTCGGCCCTGCTGTCCGCTGACAGCAGCAGCTGTCTGCCAGCTTCTATCATCAGGATATAACTGCCCTGCTGACGCTGCAGCACCTTTTCCTTCAACTGCAGTAGAATTAATCAGCAATATCACACCACAAAACCTGAAGTTCCAAAGGTTTCGGACATTGTGACAGTAGCAGTGCTTACATGCGCACATTATTTTTTCATCGGATTCAAATGTATTTGGATTAAATCATCCAAATACATCGTTTACATAGGCACAAAATTTATTAATCTGATCATGACAAGTGCCAAAAAAGAAAGTCATAAGTCATGTGCAATGATGAAGATTCAAAATCTTTGAAGAACATTAAAGGGATCCATGATTAGTTGTAACATTAGACTTTATTTGATAAACATACACTCACCGGCCACTTTATTAGGTACACCTGTCCAACTGCTCGTTAACACTTAATTTCTAATCAGCCAATCACATGGCGGCAACTCAGTGCATTTA